ATATTCTAGCAACCTCTCTACTCCCAGCAAAGCCTGTTCGCAAATTCACTGCATCTCCTGGTGTCATCTGCTTTTAATTAGAGACAAAGCCATAGCCTCTCATAGTGAAGTAGAGAAAGATGGAATTTAAAAGTTATAATAGAGTTAGAGTTCATTTGGATCAAGTGGTCACTCACTTGATAGCAAAGGAAACAGCCAAAGCTCAGGCCCAGATGTCCCATTCCCTGCCCTGCCCATTCACTATACTCTGATGCTGAATTCAGGAAGCTCTCAAGCAAGTCTTGAGTGGGGGTATATGAGATAAGTGGCAATACTGTGGATTGGGTCTGACGTGCCTTAGTCTTCAAAGTGACATCTTTGCTATAAAATGGTTTTTTGTTTGTGTGTCAGTTTTTTTTTGCATCTAATTTGTCCAATGCATTGTGCCATTTGATTTCCTAACTGCTGTTTCCATGGCATTGATTAGAGAGTCAACTAAAATTAAATCCTTAACAGCTTTAATTGCATCCCCAGTTATTGTGATCTTGCTTGTTGGCCCTGTCGTGAGAATTTTTGTTTTCTTTGTGCTGAGGTTTAATTCATAGTGAAAGCTGTACTCTTTGACAATAGTAAGTACCTCAAGTCTTCTTTGCTTTCAGTAAGCAAGGTTGTGTCATCTGCATACCATAGGTTATTAATGAGCCTTCTCAAATCCTGATCCTGCGTTCTTCATCTAGTCCAGCTTTGGGGATTATTTGCTCAGCTGAAGAAGTATTGTGAAAGGATACAACTCCGTGCACATCTTTTCTGATTGTGAAACACTGTTTCCCTTTGTTCTGTTCCAATGAGTACCTCTTGGTTTATATACAGGTTGCTTTTAAATGAATGTTCTGGTATACCTATTCTTCAAATTTGTTATCCATAATTTGCTATGACCCATACAATCAATCATATGCCTTTGGCTAGTCAATAAGAGAGAAATAAACATACATCTCCACCACCTGTGTTCAAGAAATTCAAGCCAGACTCAAAGAGGATGTAGAAGGAGGGAGATCATTGCTGACACCAAATGAATCTAGAACAAAAGCAGAGAATGCCAGGAAGATGTTTACTTGCATTTTATTGACTATGCAAGGCCATTCAACATACTATGAGTTGCACTGAGAAGAGTGGGAATTCCAGAGCACTTCATAGTGCTCCTGAAGAACCTGTACATGGACATGAAGCAGTCATTCTAACAAGAGAATTCTTAATGGTTTTAAATCAAGAAAACTGTGTGTTAGGGTTGTGTCCTTTCACCACACGTACTCAATCTGTATACGCAGAAAATAATCAGAGAAGCTGGACTAGATGAGGACGTGCTTGGCATCAAACTTAGAGAAAGAGACATTAACCACGAGTGAGATGCAGATGACACAGCCTGGCTAGATGGAAGCAAGGGGAACTTGAAGCATCTGCTAACGAGGATCAAGGACTGGAACCTCCAGTAGCGACTGCAATCAACGTAGAGAAGATCAAACTCCTCACAACTGGAAGAAAACAGTGAAGTTGTTAAAGATTGCATCTTGCTTGAATCTACAATCAATGCTCCTGCTTGCAGCAGGCAGGTAATAAAACAATGTATTGCATTGGGAAAATGTGCTGCTCAAGACCACTCACTTCAAAGTGTTGACGAATTGCAATGCCTCTTGGTGGATTAAGATGCATCTGACCCAAGAAAATACCCATGGTATTTTCAATCGCCTCATATACATGTGAAAGCTGGACTTGGAGTATAGAAGACCAAAAAAGAATTGATGTATTTGATTTATGGTGCTGGGGAAGAATATTGATAGTAGCATGGACTGCCAAAAAAACAAACAAATCTGTCTTGGAAAAAGTACAGCATAGTGTTCCTCAGTAGAGAGGAGGGTGAGACTCTGCCACATGTTCTTTGGACATGTTATGTCAGAAGAGACAGTGCTTGGAAAAAGACATCAGGCTTGGTAAAGTAGGAGGGCAAAGAAAAAGATCCTAGACACGTTGGCTTGACACAGTAACTACAATGATTCAAGCACAACCACAATTGTGAGGATGGTGCCGGACCAGGCAGTGTTTTGATCTGTTGGACACAGGGTCGCTATGAGTCAGCATCAACTTGACAGTCCCCAACAAAAAGAACAACATCTATCTGGTATTCTCTGTGTTCCACCAAGATCCATCTCACATCAGCAATGATAACCCTCTTCCGAATCCAGCTTAACTTTTTGGCCATTTCGTTAGTAATGTACTGCTATAACTTTTTGAATGGTCATTCGTAAATTTGTACTTGCATATTATATTAACGATATTTATTGTTCAATAATTTCTACATTATATTGGATCACCTTTCTTTGGAATTGGCTCAAATATGGACCTCTTCCAGTGGATTGGCTAGATAGCTGCCTTCAAAAAAAATTTTTTAACCTGTTCTTGTGAATTAGGTGAGGATTTACAGATTAGACTATTCAACTCTTCAACACTGTATCAAACCTTCCAACGACTTGCCCTGTTCTTGTCTTTTCCCCCATCTCCTTCTTGCTCCATATTGTCTTCCCTTTCATCCACATTGACCTCTACTCCATTACTTGCTCTCCCTCCCCCTCCCCTTTTATTTTAACCCTCCTACCCCTGTAACCATCAAAGTCTGTTTCTTTTAGAGTGAAAGTCTCTGCTTGATTGTTTCCCTGTCACAGTGATCTCAGACAATATTTATCCTTTGCGATTGACTAGTTTCACTTGTCATAGTGCCCTCCAGTTTCATCCATGTCACAAGGTATTTCCCAGATTTACCATGATTCTTCAGCATTGCTCCGTGGGAACGAGGGAGCGCCGTCAGTGCTGCATCCACTTGGTAACGCGATTTGGCTTTACCTTCTGGCTTTTCACCAGTGCCGTCTGTGTGGCTTGGACTGCGTTCTTCAATATCATCGGTTCTTAATCGAATGCTACTGCTTGAAATGTTAAACATCCATGCGTACTTTTTGACACAACGATTCAGTGTGTTCCTTCATCATCTTTGGATGCTTCCTGCGTTGTTCTATTCCCTTAAATAGACTTTAGCTGGATTTTGTTAAAACTACTGTATATGAATAGTCATCACAGCCATTTGTGTGGGCAGTTTTCTGAATGTTGCTTCTTGGACAAGGCATATTCAGAAGTACTACTTCTTTTCTCCTCCTCTTTCTCCTTATCTTCAGAGCTATGTGTCATATAGTATAGCACAAGTGACAGGCGCAGCATCAAATTATCCCATATTCTTTCTAACAATCTAATGAGATTGTTAGAAATCTCATTAGATTATTGCAATAATCTTATTATTTCCCACTTAAGAGTCTAAGAAAAGACACATAACCAGTCACGTGGCCAGTTAGTCATGGTACCAGGCTTAAAACCCAACTCCAAATGATTCCAAAGCCTCGCTTTTTTGTCACAAAATGGAATGCCATTAGGACTGGAATATTCTCATCCAAGCTGCATCCTTGCCTCTCAGGGTTCATTGACCACAGTTTGCCAGTCTAGTCGTAACTTCTAAATCCAGAAAAACAAGAAAGGAAAATGTAAACCTGGTCTTAGACATCCTGAACTTGTACTTGGAAAATTTCAGATTTAATTCAAGGAGGTGAAAAGAGAAAAGACTTTTGAGAGTCTTACAGGGAATTTTGGTTTTGTCTTTTATTCATATTGTAAGATCACCCAGACAGGAAATTACGCAACAGGTATATGACAGTGCATGTTCCACAGAAGACTGCCAGCCCCTCGTGCCCTCCTCAATCACCCCCTTTTTGCTACTGTTCCGGTAATATGCACACATTTCCTCTTCCCTGATACTAACAGGATGGCTTTGTACTTGTTAACCTTGATTAGAATCTTTTCAGTGATTTGGGAAAGAGCCAATAGAAAAAGAAAGAGGAGGAGAAAAAACAATGAAGCAAGAAGTGGAGGAAGAGGAAAGATGTTTAAAGAGGATGAAAATAGATGGGGATTTTTGAGAGCTGTTTTCTGAGGTGGAATGAATTCAAAGGAAAATGGCAGAGAAAGGAGGGTGGGGACATGTATTTTGGAAAGAACAAAGGATATGCTGGTAAAGGAATAGGTGAGGCAGGTCTGGAAGCTCTAGAGCTACCCTGTTTCCCCGAATATAAGACAGTGTCTTATATTAATTTCTGCTCCCAAAGACGTGCTAGGTCTTATTTTCAGGGGATGTCTTATTTTTCCATGAAGAAGAATACAGTACACATTTATTGTTGAACCAAAAAAAAAAGGGACATTTATTGCCTGTATACGGTATGGTAGTAGTTGTCATCACAAACCAGCATAACCAGACAAACTGTGAGTCCTACAGTATTAAGAATTTCTTGTTTCCATGTACAACAATATATGGTACATTTACTCATTTATTCAATGATAGCCATGTCATCATCTTCTGGAACATCATCATAACAATCCAAACCCTTATTTTCGGGGAGCTCTTATTTTCCGGGGGATGCCTTATATTTCAGCGAGAGGCAAAACTGTAAGTAGGTCTTATTTTTGGGGATGTCTTACTTTCAGGGAAACAGGGTATTGACACTTATCAGCTGAAGAGCTTCCCTGCCCTCAGAAGTCAGTGGGGAAGAATGGAGGAGGAGAAGTTGTGGCCTCAGCGGGGAGGCATTTGGGGATGGATGCTATCAGCAGTCTAGACTGGATGTCTGAGCGTGTGGATCTCATATTCTATTCTAAACAAGATCAATGCTCAGGCTCGCTTTTTGCTGTTGTTCTTAAAGTACAATGATACATAAATACTGAGTGAATATTGAAGTAAAAAGACCGGGAATTGAATACGATAGCAATATTATCTCAGAAGGAAAAGAAAGTTAACTTAGCGTAGAAAACAAAGGATAAAAAAATGTGAAAAGGAAAGGATAAAAGCAACTTTGACCTGAAATGCATTTATTTCCTTTATGGCTATCATTTACATCCTTGTCTGTTTTTGTTTTGTTTTGTCTTTTCCTCACCAGGAGCCTGGCAAACAACAATCTCCAGACACTCCCAAAAGATCTTTTCAAAGGCCTGGATTCCTTAACAAATGTGTAAGAGGAATCACAGTCACCGGCTCATTACTTAATGTGCTGTACTTTCAAGGGGACCTGGTCTTGATTAGGAGAATTTTAACGAGGTTTCTGGTAATTGGATGGGCTTTGGGGTCTCCCGTGGTCTTTACCATTGGGAAGTCGGACTAAAGAGCCTGCCGGCCTTCCTTGACAAAGGGTGTGTTTGTATGGGAGGGGGTGACTAGTGGGCAAAAGGGAGGCCCGAAGAAACATGGCAAGATCCTTTTGCCTTTTTTCAATGAGGCTCAGGAAAGGGGGCCACAAATGAAAAACATAAAGGAGTCTGGGAAAGTGACTTAGTAAAGATGAAAGGTTATGCCCCTGGTTGGTCAGTCAACACAGAGATGGAGCAGGAAATGGGGGAAGGGAAGAAAGTTTGCCCCCTTTTTTACTTCTCCTTAGAATGAACAACTTCTTAATTCCCAGGAATTTGGCTTAAGCCCCTGGGAAGGGAATGAATTTAATTATTTTTGACCCTTTTTTCAAACAAAAGAGCTTTCAAACTTTTGACTTTTAAGCCCCAGAATGAAAGACCTTTGCAAGGAATGCGTAGATTCTGCTGTGAGCAGAGCAAGTAGGATAGGCTCAAAAGCAAGCTCTCTTCACGGAATACTCCCCAGAGCCCCAGCAGGAACAAACAGGAACAAACGCAAGGATATACAGAAGGAGAAGATTGCTAACGGTCCTGATGCTTTGCTAGAGAACAGCACGCAGAACAACTTTTCTAACAGCAACCAAAAAAGAAAATCTGAGCCACGTAATTTCTTCTAAACTCAGCATTTAGTTTAATAGCGCTAAGCTAATGAAAAACTTTCTTTGTTCCTTGCAGTAAGTAGCTCCCCTCTCCTTCCCTCACCCCTGTCACCCCCAAGTCCTAAATGATGGTGTATTTCTAAGAGAATGCCAGGCTCCGGACACTTTCAAGAGAGTAGCTGTGCTGGTTCCCAATAGCCCAGAAAGGCTGGCACTCATGATTCTGGGTCAGAGTATTCTTGGGAGATGAGGTCAGTCCTGGGAATGTTCTGGAAGTTAGATGATACTTCATGGCAGACTTGGGGAGGCAGCCTATTGGGGGCCCTCAGGCCCATCCTTGCATTAGCCTGTACTCTATTACTAGGATGGGGAAGAAATGGAAATTGGCTGGATCTCCCTGGGGAATCCCATAATGGGTTGGGCCTCTTAGGCCTATTTTGATATACCCATATCAAAAATTATCTTAGACGTATAAACACCAAGCCAACTTGCCTTTTAGTGGATTTGGGTCCTGTTTTGTTTTCTTTAATGTATGTCTCATAATATTTTTTTAACTGGGCATTTAAAAAAATCACTTCAAAATTATTTTCATGTAACATAAAGAGTAGACAATATCTATCATAGGAGTTCAATGTGACCAAGGAAGAGTTTAAGAAGGCAAGAGAGAATCCCTGAGCATTAAGCCACGCAAATAAACAGGGAAGTTGACAGATTGGGGTCATATGTGGAAATTAATACTATCCATGCTGCATAGTTTATTATAGGCATGAGATATTGTACTTTTGGGTTAACTCTGCTGTGTCCAAGTCATTTCCCATGAAACTGAATTTGTAGCCCACGAAAGGGGATCAGGAGTAATTAGCCTGTGAGGAAGAAGAAACAAAACTAGCTCACTCAATTTAATTAAAACGTGACAGTGTGGTGGGCTAAGCATTGGGTTTCAAGTCCAGAGGTCTGTGGTTCAAACCTACCAGTCACTCCTCCGGAGAAAGGGCTGTCTGTACCCACAAATATTCACAGTCTCAGAAGCTCCGCGGAGCAATTCTATTCATCGACTGTAGCTCTACGAGCCGAGCTGACTCGATGGCAGGGAGTTTGGTTGGGGGTTCTCCTCTAGACCTGTTCTAACACAGTGACCGCTATACACACACGGTCACCGCGTCCTTCAACTGTGGCCAGTGCAATGGACCAACTGAATTTTACAGTTGATTTGATTTTTCTAACTTACATTTAAACACGGATTCTCAGTTTGATTATTGGAAAACGTTTAAGTGTGTTTGAAACAAATTAGGTGCGTGGATCTATTTTTCAATAAAAAATCTAATGAAATCTCATTGAAGATCAAGTCTTTCTGACCAGATTTTAGCTTCCAAATTGAGATACACTGCCACACATTGGATTTCAAAGACAGTAATTTTCAAAAGGATGTACAATATCTGAATTTTTACATCGATTCCATGTTGAAATGACACTATTTTGTGTTAAGTGGGTTCAATAAGGCATGCTATTAAAATTCATTTCACCTGTTTCTTTTTACTTTTAAAATGTGGATATAGACATTTTTCAATTATATTTGGGCCTCACACTGTGTGTTCACTGGACAGTGCAGGTCCAGACTGAGCTGCCTTTGGATTAAAAAGGGAGGGAGACAGTGAACTTCATTGGCTAGGGAGCTCTCAAGGACACACTGGAGTAATGATCCAACCATCTCAGACCTATGTATAGACCGCAGATATCCAATAAGAGAGATACGGACAGATACATATGCACACCTATACTCATTGTAGCATTGTTTATAAGAGCAAAAAATGGCAACAGCCTAAATGTTCTTCAACAAATGAATAGATAAGCAAAATGTGATACATAACCACATTCAATGGAATACTACACAACCATAAAGAGCAACAATGAGTCCAAGCATATTAGCACATGAAGGGATCTGACGGAAATCATTGTAAGTGGCCGGCCGAGTGAGGCAGGGCTGAGAGAACCTGTCTTGCTCCACGGGCGATAATGATAACTAAGATCAGTTCCAGGACTGACCCCCAGGAAGTAGTCAGACATATCTCCACTCTCCAACTGAATTCTGGCCTCAGCTGTTTCTCTCACAGCCCTCTCGATTTCTCCTCTGGGTTCTGTAATCCACTGCAATGGCCACAAGAACCAACAGATGACGCTTCCACGTAAGTGGATTATTAAGGACCCGAGGACAACTCGGACACAGGACCACAAAGGCTGTAGCAGTCGTCCTTCTTCAGCGCAGGACACTAAATGTACCCATGACATTGAACAACTAGTATGGAGTTTGGGAACCAAGTTTGCTGTGTAAACTTTCACCCAAAACATACAAAAATATTATTTTTTAAAAGGTTACACTCGAATAAATCTCTAACCCCAAGGTGAATGGTCAGTGCCTTTCAGGACCGATTTGTAGGACAAGATGTAAATTCTCAGGCCAAGGAAGGTCATGGTATACGCGTCACTGGTTAGAAGAGAATTCATGCTCGTGGGGGAAGGGCCTCATGCAACAAAAGCAGCAGAAGTTTGTCTTTCAGGGACCTGCGGGGAAATGCATTTAACTGTGACTGTAAACTGAAGTGGCTGGTGGAATGGCTAGACCACACCAACGCGACAGTGGAAGACATCTACTGTGAAGACCCCCCAGAGTACAAGAAGCGCAAAATCAACAGTCTCTCCGCCAAGGATTTTGACTGCATCATTACAGGTAAGGTATTCAAACCATTCCACTTCATTCAACTCAAATCGAGGTTACATGTTTGCATGTATGCATGAAGTGGTTTTTTTGTTTGTTTGTTTTACATCTTCAAAATCAACTGGACAGTTAATTTTTTAAAAGTATTGGAGCTCTTAAAATGCCATGTGTCTAAGAGCAAAGTAGAATTGTCATTTGGATTTGTTCCTTTACATGCAATGTGTTTCTTGTGACTATTTGAAATCTAGCCAAAGAAAGGGGCTTCCGTTCAGTTCTCATCACCAGTTCCTTTACTTTTGCAGAATTTGCGAAGTCTCAAGAGCTGCCTTATCAGTCACTGTCCATAGATACGTTTTCTTATTTGAACGATGAGTATGTAGTCATTGCTCAGCCTTTTACGGGAAAATGCATTTTCCTTGAATGGGACCATGTAGAAAAGACCTTCCGGAATTATGACAACATCACAGGTATGAGAAAGAAGCCTGATCATATTTGGAACACAAAGCCTTGGGCCAAGAACAGGAAGAGGAGGGGTGAGGGAACGTTCCGGTCAGATTGAGAATGATTTGAATCCCAACTCTACCATTGACGTACTATGTGGCCTGAGACAGATTTCTCATCCTTAATCTGGTGATTTGTAAAATAGGAACACTACCTACCTCACAGGGTTGCTATAATACAATCATATCTTCAAATAAATTAGCATAGGACCTACCATAATAAATACTCAATAAAGAGTGGATTATTTTTCTTCAGGATTGGACCAGGGGTCACAGAGTCTAATCAAAGTTCAATCACACACCAGATAGGCATGCCACTTACTCTAACGAGCCCCTCTTTTCTTAACGGTAAAACAAGGAGCTAATTATAAACCAACGAGTCTCAAGTTTTGTTGCACCAATATTGCTTACGTCTAGAAACTGTTCATGCTCCCTTGTGGCCAAAGAAAAAAAAGGGTTTCAGTCACTCGATGAACCGCTGTGGACCCTGCACATCTCCTTTGGAATTTGTTGTTAACTGCCATTGAATTGGGCCCCTGACTATGGCGCCCTCCTGTGTTCCAAAACAGAACTGCTGCATAGTGTTTGGGGTTTTTTTTTGGGGGGGGGGTAGGGAGGCTCTAGTCTTTGTGGAAGCAGATCTCCAGGCCCTTGGGTTAAACGCAGTCCATCGCAGAGTGACTGCTGGTGCCACCCAGACGAGACGCAGAGCCCTGGCGTGAGGCAAACTATTTCCAGTGTTCTTCACATGACTTTGGTCACAGGACCCAAGTTTTTCCCATCAACACTTTTTCTTAAGTGATATTGGAAGTTTCTTTCCTACCTTAAGTATATATATATATATATATTTATGTATATTATATGTGTGTATATATGCATAATATATATGTTTATTGAGTCATATAATAAAACGTGGTGCTTACTCTGAAATATTTACATCTTTCCTGCCTTACCTGCTCCTAAAAACATTCAAACCATCACATAAAAAACAGGGCTGGGGAGTCTTTTTTCTTCCAAGGGCTATTTGGATATTTATAACATAATTCATGGGCCAAACAGTCCATTAACTCACCTTCGTGCAATGGCTGGCTTTTCTTTGTGAGACGTATGATCTTGGCTGGTATGATGATGTCTTGGGCCTTACATGGCCCACAGGTGAGATGTTCCACACCCTGGCACAAAGGTCACCCTTTAGACAAAGCTTGGTGGGTCATAATTAAATTTGTTCGTGACCCTCAGCTCCATTGCGCAGAGAACCAAGATTGTTTGGGCCTACTTCCTTTAACGTGAGGTTGCTCAGATGAAAGTATGCTCTCTAAGCTGGGACCCTCTCAGACAGAGCCCACCTTTTTTCTCGAGGGAAAAGCCGTTGCGTCTCATGCTCCTGTGGCCCCTCTCAGTCTTCCAGCGCCCTGCAGTCTCAACTGGCTTCCTCCCGCCTGCAGCGCCCAGGTCGTCCATTGCTTTGCTTGAGCACTTGAGAAAGAAATGAATCCTAGTTTGTGGACTTCGAGAGGCCTCCTCGGAGCTCAGTGTCTAGGATGACAAAGATATGGCACATATGCTGTCACTGTTCCCTCCAAGAGGCTAGACAGACTCGGTTCATCTGTCAGGATGCTCTTCCTTACAGAGCCCAAGCAAGGCCACGGGCTCCTTCTCGGCACATTGCTCCAGATAGTCGCTATCGATCCATACATGTGTTGAAATCTATTGATCATCCCTGATTGAGTCCAAACCTCTCCTTGTAAGGAAGAGGAAATGGAGTCTCAGAGCAGTTACGTGATTCTCCCAAGGTCACACTATCAGTTTAGTCCTGATAGGGGTTACAAATAAAAAAACATGTTGCTGATGTGTGGAGCCAGCTAATGGAGTGGATGTGAAACACACTGCCTCAGAGCTCCTAGAACTACAGCAAGGTAGGGTCTGGCACTAAGCATTGACCCACCTCTTTTTGGATTTCCGGAACCAGGCCCCCTCTAGGAAACCCAAAGCAAACTCCCTGGCACGGAGTCAATCCTGACTCCTAGCGGCCCCCTAAGACAGGACGGAACTGCCCTGTGAGTTTCCAAGACCGTATCTCTTTAAGGGAGTGGAAGGCCTCGTCCTTCTCCCACAGAAGGGCTGGTGGTTTTAAACTGCCAACCTTGAGGATCACAGCCCAATGCATAACTAGTAGGCCACCATGCCAAAAGGACTCCTCTCTCTCTAGGAAGGAGATCAAAATCTATTGATACTTGTCAAACTCTTACCAACATGATATTACACCAGACTCTGGACATATCAGTCCAAGTATTTCCCAAAATACCTTCTGGGGACCAGAGTGCCTGGCTATAGCCCATTTCATTTTCCTCAAGGATTCTTCCCCTGCTCTTCTCTCCTCCCATCAGTGGCCTAGCGTGTCAGAAAAGCCACACGTGGCAGCTCCCTTGCCTCCTGAGAGGAAAGCCAGGTGGTTCTAGAGTGCGGGCAGGTCATACTCAGAGGAAGGCACTTCCGGAAGAGATGTGTGCTGCCCGGACCGCAGCTCAAGCCTTCCGAGGCTGATGCCAGATGGCTGTGAGACGCTAGCCCAAGTTGGAAACCTTGAGACTACTAACCTCAACCCAGCCTGTGCTGACAGCCCTGAGGCACTAGATCCGAGTAGGCCTGGGTTTGAATCTCAGCTCTGCCCTTTTTCTAACAGGCTTGAGCTTCTGTTTGCCCCATCTGTAAAAGGGAGAATAATAACCACATAACTCATAGTCTGGGAAGATTTCATGAGATGCTTGAGCAAAGCACTTAGTAGGTAAATGAGAGTGTGCCGTGGAATGACTGCAGTGCACTGACAAGGCATGGGGAAGGCGTCTGCAAGACTGAGAGGAGGAAACCCAGACCTTAGGCACGTGAGATGATGGCTCATTTGTTGGTACAATGCCCCCGGAGGCACGGAGGCACGGAACTTCAGGACCCTGGAGACCAACCTGACCTCACCGACCCAGGGTAGCTCCTGTTCCAGGCTGAGGTGGGGGGAAGTTGTGTGTGTGCACATGCTCCAGAGGGGATGGCCAGACAATTAATCTCGCCTTTGTCTCTCCCCCAGGCACGTCCACTGTGGTGTGCAAGCCAATAGTCATTGACGCCCAGCTCTATGTCATTGTGGCCCAGCTGTTTGGTGGCTCTCACATCTACAAACGAGACCGTTTTGCAAATAAATTCATAAAAATTCAGGATATTGAGATTCTCAAAATCCGAAAGCCCAATGACATCGAAACATTCAAGATTGAGAACAACTGGTACTTTGTCGTTGCGGACAGCTCAAAAGCGGGGTTCACCACCATCTACAAATGGAACGGAAACGGCTTCTACTCCCATCAGTCCCTACATGCCTGGTACCGGGACACCGACGTGGAATACCTAGAGATCGCCAGGACGCCTCACACACTCACAACGCCTCACATAATCCTCTCCAGTAGCTCCCAGCGTCCCGTCATTTATCAGTGGGACAAAGCGACGCGATTGTTCACCAACCAGACGGACATTCCCAACATGGAGGATGTGTACGCGGTAAAGCACTTCTCGGTGAAAGGTGACGTGTACATTTGCTTGACGAGATTCATAGGCGATTCCAAAGTCATGAAGTGGGGAGGAGCCTCCTTTCACGATATTCAGAGGATGCCGTCGCGAGGGTCCATGGTGTTCCAACCACTTCAGATAAACAATTATCAGTACGCAATCCTCGGCAGCGATTACTCCTTGACTCAAGTGTATAACTGGGACGCAGAGAAAGCCAAATTTGTGAAATTCCAGGAACTGAATGTTCAGGCACCGAGGTCCTTCACGCATGTGTCAATTAATAAGCGTCACTTCCTTTTTGCTTCCAGTTTTAAGGGGAATACACAGATTTACAAGCATGTCATCGTTGACTTGAGCGCGTGACGCGGCTGCCGTCAGAAACGTCCCACCGGCACGTACGTGACCCGGATGAACTCAATGCATGATGACTCTTCTTAGCACACTTGCAAATGAATGCCTTTCAAACGCTCAGACTGCTAGACCCAAGCACTACCAGTATCTCCATCCTTAACTGTCTCATCCAGTGGTGTGGGAAGTTACTTTTATATGACAAAATTGAATTGTGTAACTGTTCTTTGCAGTAAAGATGTGTAAATAAGCGTTTCTTGGTATCGGTTACTCTGAAAGAAATATTAATATGTACTTTTCCATTTATTTATTCACGTGTTCAGAAACAACTGCCAAATAAAATGTTTACATTTTCTTTCATGCCCCAAAGGTAATTTTTGATAGAGGATGCTTTACTCTTATTGACGGTATGTCGGGAGTATAGTTGTACACAATAGGGTTAGAGCTGGCTCGAGACGTTAGGGTGTAAATAACGAGTGGAAGCAAATCACTGCCCTTAATGAATGGGCAGGTTTATCGGTAGAGCTGGAGCCCAGTGCTTCCACAGGGCAGGAGATGTAGGATGAGCCCCGGAGGTGAAATGAACGAAAAGAAGGGTAAAGGCTAGTGCCTTTTACAAGAAGAGCAATTTGAAATAAAGCACAGTAAGAGCCATCTTTTTTCTCTCCTGTCAGCCCTGGCTACAGCCATCACTCAGACAATTTATAGGAGGCGATAAATCAAGATTTAGATTTTCTAAAACCTTCCTTGGGGACTGTCTACCCATCTGACGCTAGAATCATCAGACAGTTGAGAGAGTTTGAAGTTTTTTGGCACTTGTCTCACATGTACGTGATATGAGGGTCTCGTAATCTGATGCAGGATGATTCTAGATGCCAGTCTGGGGAGTGAATGAGCCTCAGATGGCTGGTGTTTGGTCCTCTAACTTCCGGCTCCTAGATCACATGTCGAGGATATGTTTTATACAATAGAGTTAGACCTGGATCAAGAATTGAGACTGAATAGCAAGCCACTGTATTATGCATGTGACACAGTAGGCTCTCAAAAAAAAAATGGTGTTATAGAAGCAAGTGTATCCTGTTCTAATACAATTGTAAGCTTTATTCAGTACTTTGACCTAATCAGTTTGTCTTTACTGAGTACCTATTAAGAAGACAGTCTTGTTCCTGGGAGAAGGGAGGAGTTGAGCAAGGGTAGGACAGGACATGGTCCTTGTCCGCTGAGGTCTTGCAAAGTTAATTAGTAAATTAGAAAACAAAACAAAACCCTATGAGTGCCATGTGTCACATGAACATCCCGGATTATAAATATCATGGGAATATTTTTTAAAATGACTTTCTACCATTATTTAAGCTTCAGAGATGATGTTCTTTCAAGCGTCAGAAAAGATATCCGTGGCACAAATTGACTACTCTGCATACTGCCTTCCCAGAGGAAATCCGAGCTACTTCCTGTGTGTTCTTTCCCAGACTCCTTTGCCTTATGACTGGGGTGCCGGTGGGCAGAGAACAACCCTCTTGCCCAGCACAAACCTGGCAGACTCGAGGCATCAAACGTGCTGATGATGGTTAGATAGTGTCTTGGGCAACATTCTTCATGAGAATTATTTATGTTCCTGAGGTCTGCCCAAGAAGTAGATTCCTTTACTAAGCAGGACAGATGTGAACTTTGGCATTAGGGTGATAGATTAGAAGAACTCTTAACTCATTCTCCAAACTACAGAACAAGAAGGAATATTGTTTTCTTTTCTTTCTTTTTTCATTTCTTTTTTTTCTAGTAAGCATCACCATATGCTGTTGGAGAAGACCTCCTGTGCTTGGGACAGACTCTGTGAGTTCAGTTGTGCTAATGGACTGACTATCTGTAGGCAAGTCCCTTGAGTTCTGTAGGCTTCACCTTTAGCTGTCAAAGAGGGTCAATAACATCTACTACAAGGACAAGAAGGGAAGAATTTCATGAGATAATGTATGGGTGTTGGATTGTGTTTCCCAAATAAGGTCATAACAGTATCTCCCTCCACCTATCTGCTCCATGAGACTCTTGACCCCATCCCAACCTGAGGTGGTGTCTAATTCCTTTCTTCTTCCATCTGGCTAAGTTTGTGATTTCTTCGTAGCAACAGACTATGACAGGAACGATGGAGTTGGTCAGAAAAAAGGTGATAAAGTCTCCACCTTGTAAACTGGAGCTCTCACTTTGGAGCCCCGGGCAGCCGTCCAAGAAGTAGGGCCACCAGTCTAGGAGGAATACCAGGAGCCTTGGTTGACAGCTCCCACTCAGGTCCCAGCCTATAGCCAACACCAACCACCAGACACGCGATAGAAGATGCTTCAGTTAACTCCAGCCCACAGGTCTTCCTAACTGAGGCGCCAGATATTGTGGCACAGAGCCAAGCCATCTCACAGGCGCCCTGTCCAAATTCCTGCCCCACAGAAGTGAAGAGCACAATAACATGGTTGGTCTAGACCATAAGTTTTGGGGTTTTGACACAGCAACACTATTTGAATAGCATGCAAAAAGGTTTCCCACAGAACTGACTTGACTTAGCACTCACCAGGTAATAGCTTTTATGACTAATAAGCTCTACACCCAGCATGTTGCACACCTTTGAACCATGCTCTCCCTTATTGTCTTATGTAATTCACTGTCATTTCCTTTTTAAAGGATATGTACCCCCACCTTTTTTAAAAATAGACATATTATTAGTGTTCTTATTCTTGGCAGATCAGGAGACAGAGATTAAAGTCTGCCCTGCTCGTTTTCATAGAATCATTCACCGAGTTAGTAAATGGATTCTCTAATGCACCTGAAAACCTGGCACCCAGAGATGTGAAGTGAGATGGGACAGGTAGGCCTTTCCCCACCCTCACCTGTCTGCACGGATCAGATCATCATGGGGAAACGGTGGTAATCAAGAGTCAGAGGTTGGGCCCTGTCTTCAGGGCCGGTATTCCCCCCACTCCTGTTGCTCACCACCAGACACTCCCTTGACCCACCAGGCCTGCCCTATCACCATGAAGTCTACAAGGGTTTGGGGATGGGGAATGTTGGTGATAGTGGTGGTCGAGTGTTGCCTACCACCTGCCCTATCCTGGCACCCACTGTGAGAAGGGACTCTTCTTATCCACCCTCTGGCCTGACCCTGCAGCTTCTGTGCACCTCCCTTTCCGCTCCTTCCCGTTCCACCTTCCCTGCTGATATCCCTGGCAACTCTGTGCCCACCCCCACTAATAGCCCACAGCCTCATGTCATGTAATCCCACTGTAGTCCGGACACACCCTTGGGGGCCGAACTGTCATCAGTTGGCCACTGTCCTTCCTCATTGCTGGGTAGCCTGTGGAGGGTGGCCCTGCCCCGCGACTATAGCCCCGGGTGGGTCTGCAAAGTGAGAAGAGAATGAAGTCAAAGATCTGAAAGAAGAGAGGTGAGAAACTACATCTGAGGAAGAGAGGCATCACTTGAGAATTTTCCAAAGGAGTTCTAAATGGGCACTGTCAGGTAGCGAAGGAGAAGGAAGTGTACAGTCCACTCCGCCTGACACCCAATCCTAGTTCTCTGTCCATCGTACAGGGCTGCCTTTCAAAAGCTCATTCTCTGATACGAAGTTGAGGTTGTCGGTGGGGCATGAGGTGAGGAGTGAGACCAACTGCGAAAATCAATTCAAGACAAATTGAAGAGCCGGCAGGGTGTAGGGTTCACTTTTTCAGGGACTGACAGCCGTTTCTATGAATTCCTCTCCCTATACCCTTCGTCTACCCCATATTTTACAGCTCTGCCCCTTTTTGTGGCCACAGGTGATTGCGCTTGGATCAACACCAGCTGCTCAAGCTGGAAGCTGACTGAACTCAGCCTGAATCATTCCAGTTCTCTTTTCAGGATTTTGGAAGCAAGGCAGCAAAGCTGGGTCCTCCGTCCATAGGCATCAGACTTGTCCAGTGGCTAACTGGGTTCCCCAGGAGGAGAGCTGGGCAAAGGACCTATGAAAGGAGTGCTCTGAGAACAGACCTGGAACGGGGTCAGAGCAGCCGTCCATGGGAGGACGCTGGGCAACAATGTGGCTCCATGAGAAATCCCCCGGGCAGCCCAGGAGCATGACTTGTCCCACAGGGATTCCCCTGCTGGGAACCCTTCGATATCCTTCCCTTGCACCATAATATATATGCTTCACTGCTTCGGTCGTCTTCCTTGTTCAATGTCCAACTTTCACGTGCATGGGAGGTGATGGGGTCAGGCACATGGCTTCGGCCAGGCACATGTCAGTCCTCAAAGGAACTCTCTTGCTTCTGCACACTTTCCAGGGGTCTTGTGTGGCAGATTTACTTGAGACCATGGGTCACTTGCTCGTTTGACTGCTGCTTCCTGGAGAGAAAGACGTGTGCTTGCTCCCAGGAGAGAAGGAGGCTTGCCGACTGCTTCTGTTGGACATTGCTGCTTCCATGAGAGAGGGAAAGTAAAAGTAGGGAGAGGGAAAGAAAGAGAGGGGCATGCTGGGTTTCCCAGGAACAGCCTTTGAGAAGTTCATGTGCGACACATTTATTAAGGCATCTTCTTGGTATCAAGGAGCCCCGGTGATGCTGTGGGCTAAGTGTTGGGCTGCTAACCACAGGTCGGTTGGTGGTTCAAACCTCCAAGGAAGAAAGATGTGTCCGTCTGCCCCATAAAGATTGACAGTCTTAGAAACCTTATGCAGGCTTGTGATGAGTCAGGATGCCAACGGGTTGGGTTTTTTGGTATCTGAAGCCCTGGTGGTACAGTAGCATAAGTGTTAGCCGAACTGAAAGTTTAGTGTTCCAAATTCACCCACATCTCAGCAAAAAAAGATACAATAGTGTGCCTCCTAAGGTAAGGTGACCAGATTTTAACATTGGTAAAGCGGGACAAAAGCGGGACACCATTGATATCCCGGCAAAATAGCCACATGGCAACCGAAAACCGTCTACCCTAGCTTGTCGTGCATTCTTTCCAAAAATCAGGACTTTTTTTAAAACGCCACAGGATGCGGGACAAATTGTTAAAAATCGGGACTGTCCTGCCAAAAGCGGGACTTCTGGTCACCTTACCCTAAGGATACACCACTTTGGAAACCTGAGCATTTCTACTCTTTCCTGTAGGGCCCATCTGAGTTGGAATCAACTTCACTGGCACGGGCGTGGTCAGGTTCTCTTGGGGTCCACATGAGTAAAGGAGGCAGGGGGGGGCGGAGGCGGGGCGAGACTGCGCAGAGGGAGGAGCTGGGCTGGGCAATGCAGCTCCAGCAAAAGCCTCCAGCAATCCCATAGGGAACGCTAGCGCTGGAAGATCCCTTCTGAGTTGATCCAAATTGGACCAAGTGAATCAAGTGGGCCAAGCCTTTAT